TCCTCCTTCAGTTTCAGTAATCGCATCGAGCTGTCCGTCCGGAATATCTTCCTCCTCTCATCCAACGTCACCCTGCACGAGCTGAGACACAACCTCCAGCGCTACAAGAAGGAGTGTCAGACCTCCACGGAGCGCTCCGCCTCCTGCCGCCTCATACTCCACCCCCAACTCTATTATATAGGTAACACTATTCCTATTATATCGCTGACATATACCGCAGCGCTGTACAGAGGAGATGACACTCTAATGTCCCCTCCCCCCACAGTCACATCAGTCTCTGTACAGAGGAGCTTACACTCTAATGTCCCCTCCCCCCACAGTCACATCAGTCTCTGTACAGAGGAGCTTACACTCTAATGTCCCCTCCCCCCCCAGTCACATCAGTCTCTGTACAGAGGAGCTTACACTCTAATGTCCCCTCTGTCTGTCCTCAGCCGTCAGTCTGTGTAACATGAAGGATCCGGGGTGTGACAACGAGACGGCGGAGTGCGCGGATCCGTCCGGCGTTGCCCGGTGTCAGTGTAAAGCCGGATACTTCAAATACAGCACAACGGACCGCTCCTGCCGAGGTGAGACCCCGCCCTCCCACAGATGGGAGGGGCAAATATGCAAATTAGATAATATCCTATGCCAGGGGCCCAGGATAATTTGGCGTCTGACTATTGGCAGACAGTGGTAGGCGCGCCCTGTCTGTGCCCCGCCCAACATGACATCATCATGGCTGATACAAGAAGGGGGCGGGGCCACACAAAGCTCCTGATTTTGACAATTCTTTCACATGTACCTACTGGCGGAGCCGGAAACTCAGGGGGTGAGATCTGTATTCTGGAGTTCCTGGCTCCGCCCTTTCCCCCCCCAGTCTGTGCATGGAGGTCCCGCCCCCGCCGAACTTCCCATTCCCTCCTTGGGGGAGGAGACCTCTTATCCTATCAGCAGCTGATTAACGCCTCCGCTGTCATTTCCTCCACAGCTTGTGACGACGGCTACAAACTTCAGGATGGAGCCTGTGTGAGGTGAGGGGGCGGAGCTTTATATTTGGGGTGGGTTCGATGTTCGGATCACGGAGGGGGGGGCGTATTTTGATTATCGCGTTTCATGTGCCGTTGTCTCCGCGCTCCCTCTGGTGGTGTGATGGGGAATTGCTGAGATAAGCCCAGTTAGCCTTGTGGTCGGGTCAGACCCATAGACTGTGACTGGCAGAGGAGCGGTAAAGCCCAATCACCGTGCAGCAGGACGCAGAGCCCCTGCGTGTAATGAACATGTATGGCGGGCCGGCACATATCACATGTAGGATCGCACGCGGTACATAGACATGAACGGACTCAATGAGAGGATTTGTATCGCCGGAAATACATCATTATATCAAAATGTAACTTTCCCTTTAAATCAAAACCTGGGGACAGGAAAGTGGGAGGAGCCACTGCCTACTCGGCATTAAAGTCATCCCGCATTGGCTGCTATCCTCATCCTGAGGTCTCTGACCTGGAACAAGTGTGCGGCCAGCAAAGTCTGAGCAGCTCCAAGCTGTTGTCCTGCGTGTCCCAGGAAGGACGGCGATGGCGGATCCCCTATGTCTGTCCCCGTGCTTCATGCAGATAGACGAGTCAGCGCTGCATAGAGTCATGTGACCCAGAGCAGCCAATCAGAAATCATTCTTCAAATATCACTGCAGCCCAAAACCTGATAGATTGGGGAAGGGGTGGAGCCTCTGTTGGTGACCCCTGGGGGTGAAATTCACCTCACTTCCTGTCCCAGGGACGCCAGTCACAGAAGGACCTGTCAGCTCTTCTTCTCTGACAGAATGCCCC